CTTTTTTTTTAATAATATGAGTGCTGTAACACTTAGGTGCCATAGCAAAAATCTGTCTTATATAAGACGGAGGAGGAACTTCTTTTTGAAAGTGATCACTTTCTTTAGCATATAAAGTCGAATAAAATTTTTGTGTTTTAGGATAATTGGAATAATCCATCCATTGTTTTCTAATTTGTTTAAAATAAATCCATTCTTCTACTTTTGAACGGAAAATTTCTTGCCTGTCGTCCGTTTTTTTAGTTATAAAAAAACAACCTGAATCTGTGTCTGTAACTACCAAATGTTTTTCTGCGTTATGATTTCTTAACACTTCTCCTAGTTCCCAAGCAAAACGAGTAACGTTAAGTTTGGCCCAAGATAATATTTAAGAAGCAACATAACGCATTTGTTTGTTTATCAAATTAGTTTTTTTGCTACTCACAAAAACAAGACCGTCTTTGTACATGTTTATATCCGATTTCAAAAGTTCAAAAACGTCTTGAAATTCTTCGTTATGTTTTCCGCTAAACAATATAGTTTTTGTTTTTACGTCAATTAATTTATTAAAAAAAAATCTTTATAATACTCGTCATACGTAAAATGATCAGTAACACATCTGTCTATGCATATTTTTTTTTCAAATATATCCATTTTGTATCTTTCAGGTTCTATGTTAACAAATATACCGTTTTCATACAGCAAATTTTGAAAATGAATAGGTAACAAAGATTTAATTTTTTCTTCATAAAGACCTTCTTGTAACAAAACAAGACGAATGTCTTGAAAATGCCATATCAAATTTTGAAAGGCTTTTTCTTCGTGATTTATAAACTGACTCGTTTGTTTCATTGCCGTGTTTTGTCTTTTGAACCCATAATGACCGTTAGTGTGTAATTTAGCTGTAGCGTCTACTACTTTGTATCCGTTTTTCACGGCTTCTTTTCTTTTATCAATATTTTTTCTGACCATTTGTTCAGCTAAAGGATATCTCTATAAAGGTAATACTTTATAAATTTTTTCAACGACGTATCCGCAATACGTTGTTAACCATATCAAAGTATCTAAAAATTCGCAAGTTTCATGAGAACTCAATTTCATTAACAGTTTGACAGTTTTATCTTTTTCGATAGTGTATTGTCCGTTTTTTTAAATATCCTTTTAGCTACAATATCAGTAGGAGAATAATCTTTTAAAGGTATAACATCTTTTTCGACCATAGGTGAAAAGCCTCCTACTTTGTCTTGATATTCGGGTTCCATTTTGATTACACAATGAACAAAAGCACTTGTTGAAAAACCGTTTGGATTAACTCGATGATATTTTTCAATCACTTTTTCTAATGTTTGACATTCCAAATCAAAAGAATATTTCATTTGAAACGGTAACGGTTTAAGTTGTGCGCCTCCGTATTGTCCATTTTCGTCTAAAAAAAATAAACAACCTTTAATGTTACTTTTCAATCCAAGTTCTTCGATTTTGCTCTCAAAATAATCCGTATCTATTGCATATCTTTGCGATCCGTTTGAAGACATGCCGCCTCTAACACTTTTTTCAATCATCCGTTCGTGTTCTTCAGAGGGAGGATATTGAATTTGAATTTGACTCATGGTAGAATTGAGTTTGCTACAATAACTAAAAATACTTAAATGAGGTAACATTCGAAAATGAGTAAATTGAAATGTCCTTTCATCAAAATCAATTATCACAGAACCTAAAACCACAGTATCTAAAACTGTATAAATGTGTAATAAAGATTTTAAATTTTTCAAATTTAAAAAATTCCATAGTTTGCGAACAGTTTCATAAGAATCTTTAATTTTTTTAATTTCGTCGTCTATTGTTTTTGATTTCTTTAAATCGTTTTTCGCAAATATTTCGATAGAAGGTATTTTTTTGTATTCAATGATTAATAGTTTGTCTGATATTTGTGAACAAGGAAACAAAGTTTTTTTAATAAAACAATTTTTAAACTCTTCGTTGTCGACCAGTTGGTTAATATGGGGATAAAAAGGTAACAAATAGTGAAGCATGCTGTCAATAATTTGATTTTGTGCCTTTTTTGATAACATACTACTTGCTTGATCCAAAGAACAATTTAAAATTTTTAACGTGTCTACAATTTTTATGTGTTTGCCAATGCTTATAATGTTAAATTTGTTTACACCTTTAGTAATGACAAACAAATTTTCCATATTGCAACATTTTAAAAAAGCCTTAAAAGGTTTGTCTTCTGTATCTTCTCCGTAGCTATATAAAGGAACATCTAATATTTTTTTTAAACCTTCAACAATCATGATACGATTATCAAAAGAAGCATTGTGGGCAAAGATAGGACAAGCCAATTTACTACTATAACGTGCCAAGTTTTTGTTGCAATAATCGTGTGCCAATCCGTAAACTGTACCTGAAAAGTGGTTATGATCGATGACCAAGTAATCTTCAAAACATGATAACAAACCGTAACATTCTTTTAAGACGTTATCTCTTCCTTTATCATCTTGAATCAGTTCTTTCAATGTTCTTCTTTTTTCAAATTCTCTATTTAACGGTTCCAACATACAATGAAACCATAAATGAGCTGACGGATGATTTAAACGAGACATGAGTAGTAAAAAAGTAATAGAATCTTTTATTCCCATCCCACGTTCATATTTCCAATGCACGTTAACTTCGTTGATACATTTTTGAAAAATTCGAATTATAAAATAAGAACCTTCCAACAAGTCGATAGGATCGTTTTCAAACCATATGTTAATTTGTTGCTCGTTCATAACGAGTTGACTTAAACATTTCATATGATCAACAAGTTCTAACGAGTTTATTCTTATACAATCACTTAAAAAACCGTTTGTTATAAGAGTGCGGTCAAATATTTCCCACCATCTGCAACAAATATAAAACAAACTAGATATTTGAAACAAATCGTTTTTAATTTTCTCTACTTTGTTTGTTATTAAATAATCTTGCGTTGACGGTTTAAGCATAAACAACTCTAATTTACTAACTCGTTTAAATATATGATTTTCAACTTGAACACGTTTGTCGTTATAAAATCTAATTTCGTTATGATTTAATAAATTTATTTCTGGTTTTAACATTGTAGTTAATTTATAACTGTATATATCAGATTTACGAATTTTGTCGGCTGCACATCGGCATATTGAACACAAAGGATTTTCTTCTTGCCATACTTGACATTTTTCGTGTTTAGAAAGGTTTAAGTTTTGAAAATGAGGTAAACATTTTTCGTAGATAAAACGAACTAAAGTGTCAGCCAAAATTATTAAATCATATACTCTCAATTCGCTTTTATATTTTTTAACATTTTCGTCATTTGCATCCAATTTTTGCCACAATATTTGACGATGTGTTTTAAGTAGTAAAGACAAATTTTTTTGAAAACATGCAGGCAGTAATGTTAAAGGATTTGCTTGCAAACTTTCAATTGTATTTTCATAATAAAATATCCATTGTGTTATAACTTTACCTCTTTCATCTGAACCAAAACATTCTCTAGCTAAATTTTCAGATAAACAATGAATAACAACGCCGTGACAATAGTATGAAAGGTCTGACAAAGGTTTAACGTGTTCTGTTTCTTTTAAATTTGATTTTTGAACACTTGTTTCACAGTCAAAAGTGATAAAAAAAGGAAAAACGTTTCGTGAAGTGTTTATAAAACTTGAGGTTCATAAAAATGTCTAGTTTCTCCATAGACAAATTTGTCTGCTAAATAAAATCCTTTACATTCGTGTTTATGACTAATATGAGTATATTTGAGACCGCACTCTGAACATTGATATAGAAGTTTATTGTTATACATAACTGTAAAACGTTCGTTAAGCATGCTGACAGTGTGAAAAGATTGATTTTTTTCGTACAAACATATTTTTATTGTATTTACTGTTGTTTTACGTTCGTTAGCTTGTTTTCTTTCGCCTTCGTTTAAAAATTCTCTCTGAGGATTTTGATCTTCTTTAGTTATATTTGCACTCTTGTATACCACTTTTAATAGTTCGGAAAGTACACTTTTATATTGTGATTTCATTTTAGGGTGTAGCAAACGAACGTTTTTATTTTTTTTATTCATTGAAAAAATTTTAATATTTATTCGATCAAAAGTGTTTTCGTATGCAAAAAAGTGACACAAATCAATGAGTTCGAGAAACGATAAATTTTTACTTTTTTCTTTTAAGTGACTTAATGCGTGTATCCACGAATCGTTTTGATCTTCGATAAGAAATTGCATTATATTTTCTTCAGAATAAAAATCTTGACCGTTTTTTTCCAATACTTTCGTATTCCATTCTTTAGTTGTGTTTACATTCCACTTTCTTATTAATAACGAAACAACAAACGCTGAATAAAAACACAGTCCAGTTTCAAACAAAATACTATAATCTAAAAACATTTTTCTTTTTTGATCGTATGATAATATTTTAAACGAACTACTTTACGTTTGTTCCAATGAGTTAAAGAATGAGGACGATACCATTCTCCGTACCATTCGTCTTGATTTTCTTCTTTTATATACTCACGACCTCGCTTATAAAGAATTTTGTTTTTATTTTTAGTATAATATTTATTTTTACCATTTAATATTTGTTTTTGATTTATCATTAATTCTTCTGGACTAAGCTCAGAAACTTTTTTCTTTCGTTTACAATAACGATCACGATCACCTTCTCGTTTCATCAATAGTTCTTCTGGACTAAACTCAGAAACTTTTTTCTTTTGTTTACGTTCACGTTCTCGTCTCATCAATAATTCTTCTGGACTGAGCTCGGAAGTTTTTTTCTTTCGTTTACGATCATTTTCTCGTCTTATCAATAATTCTTCTGGACTGAGATCAGAAACTTTTTTCTTTCGTTTACGTTCATATTCTCGCCTCATCATTAATTCTTCTGGACTAAGTTCAGAAACTCTTTTTTATCCAGCAAGTTCATAATTTCTAAGTTTCATCATTGATTTTTCAGTTAAATTGCTTAATGTTTTTACTTTAAAACTAGATAAACGAATTAATCTCCATCCGCTATCATTTTCCAAAATGTTAAAACTGAACGAATGTTATTATTTTTAATATATTGTAAATTTATTGATCCCTCTAGTGGTTTTATATAATATACAAGCGAATTGTAACATCTTTTTATAATTTTACAATGACCGTCTTCTGTAGATTTACCACAAAGTGTTACAATATTATAACCAATTAAAATTTTTTGAAATAAATCAGCAAATGATGACGCTTTTTTTGTTTCAATAAGAAAACTATCTTGAGTTTTTTGATTAATGTGATGAGTGATTTCTTCAGTTGTTTGAATTTGACCGTTTAATTCAATTCCTTCAATAAAATCTTCATCTTTATAGTTGTCATTTACAAAATATAATATTTCTCGATAATAACTTTCGTTTTCTAATTTTTCTTTAACACTCTTAATTTTAAAATGCATTTTTATTAATAATCTAAAAAAAAGGTTTATTATATATTTATGTAAAATATATATTATTTTAACATGTTACAAAACTTTTTTCACCTAAATTTTTATAAAAAAAATCAACGTCTTTATCACTAGTTATATTTTTTAATATTTTTCTCAATTCGTTTTTATTGTTATGAATTATATATAGATCGCTTAATTCTTTAACACGTGATAACGAAACATAAGGTAACGGTAAAATAAATATTTTACTGTTAAAATTCAAAACAGTTTTGTTTAACGTGCAACCTTGCGCTTTATGAACAGTTAAAGAAAATGCTAATTGTAAAGGTAAACCGATTCTAGATGCAATAATATTATGAGTACAATCTAAAATGTCCTCTCTCACGTTTTCGATTTTAAGTTCTTTACCATTTATAATAACCCAAACACCATCTGTTTCTATAAATGATACAACGCTAATCGTACCGTTACATAAACCTTCTTCGACGTTTATATTTTGTACTAACATGACTACAGCACCTATTTTAATATTTATACAATAAGGTATTTGAAACATCGGATTTATTTTTGAATTTTTAATAACATCTTTAGAATGAAACCAATGTTCATCAGAAGGAATATTCATTAATTGACGCGAGTTATAAAAATCAACTTCCATATTTGTAAAAAACAAACGTATGTAATTTGGATTTATATTATGATCGACTTCAAAGTGTCTTGTCATTATTAAATCGACCGTTTTATCAGATACTTTTCCAATTCGTATTTTGTTTAAAGCGTTAAAAAATTCAATATTTTCTTGTCTAAAAGATTCATTAAGTTCGATAACATTAAACATGTATTTTTTCCATATTGCGGATTTAAAAACATAATCACCTTTTACAGGTGGTAGTTAACGGAAATCACCGCAAGTAATGACTTGTATCCCACCAAACAATTCGTCATTGCATTGATTTATTTTGCATGTTAAATTATGTAATAAATCAAAGGTATTTGCGTGAAGCATTGAAATTTCATCGATAATCAAAACGTGTGTATTTCTCCATCTATCTAAAACATCTACTTGCATATGTTTGTAATAATAATCGACAGATTTTGTACCTATTTCAATACCTGCAAAACTATGTACGGTCATACCTTTAATTTGATGAGCTGCTTTTCCTGTACTAGCTGTTACTGCAATATTTTTAAATATTTGATCGCTAGAAGCAATAGCATCAAGTATATAACTTTTCCATAGTTACGCCCCTAGCAACGGCAATTTCAAAATCAAAAAAGTTTTTGCTGATCTTTTTTACCCACTGCTAAAAATGAATCTTTGAAATGTTAACACTGCGTTTTTAAAGTATAGTTTGTCAACTTTTAAACTCATTTTTTGGCTATACTTTGCAAGAACAAATTGACTTTAACCTCGTGCTTCATTTAATTTGTTTGAATTTAGTAAATTGGTACTAGAGTTGAAATTTTTTTTATGGGTCAAAGAAAATCAGGTTACAAACCTTTAAAAAGAGTATTTCATGGAAATCGATTTGTAGTTGCTCCACTAAAAACAATAAAGAATCCAATATCTACTTCAGAAATCATTATAAATGAAGCTCCATGTTCAGCAAGTGGTTTAAAATTGAAAAATAATAATGTGAAGGAAGCAGATTTGAATATATCTTATTTGCTAATAGACTTTAATATTTTGGCAGAAACAATATGTTTGTATTCAGTTTGCCCAGAATGTAATCAAATGGGACTGTGTACTTAAAATTTAACAACAGAAAAGAAAGGATGGGCAAATAAACTGAGACTTTCCTGTACTTATTGTCAATGGAGTAAAAATATTTTTACCTCTAAAGAAATTATTTTACCTAATAAAAGTGGTCAAAAATGTTTTGACATTAACTCTAGATGTGTTATGGCATTTCGAGAAATTGGCAAAGGTCATGCATCAATTCAGACCTTTTCGCGTATACTAAGTTTAACAGATCCTATAAATCTCAAAGCTTATAACGAAATTAACAACAAAATGTTAAACTCATACATGACTGCTGCTAATGAAAGTATGACCAATGCAGTAAGGAAATGCAAAGCTAATGTAGATGAAGTTGTTGAATGTACTGTATCTCTTGATGGGACATGGCAAAAAAGAGGTGAATCTCTTAATGGTGTTGTTACTGCAATATCTCGTACTAACAATAAGGTTATTGACTACGAAGTACTTTCAAAAAAGTGTCAAGCTTGCCTGTCATGGCGTAATAAAAAAGGCACAAATGAATACCAAATATGGAACAGCAGCCATAACTGTTCAATAAACCACAAGGGCTCAGCAGGCTCAATGGAGACACAAGGAGCTATAGCAATTTTTCATCGATCAATTCATCAAAACGGTTTGCGTTATAAAAATTATGTTGGGGATGGTGACAGCAGCTCATTTCTTAAAGTTGTAGAGAGTAAGCCATATGGTGAAGATTTTGTTATTAATAAACTTGAATGTGTTGGTCATATACAAAAAAGACTTGGGAATAGACTACGTTCACTACGACAGAGTATGAAAGGACAAGTTTTAGTAGATGGGAAAAAACTTGTTGGAAAAGGGCGCTTAACTGAATCTGCTATTAACTTACTACAAAACTACTTTGGCATGTCCATCAGACAAAACTCTGAAGTTTATAGCATGAAAAAAGCCATTATTGCAGTTCTGCTTCATTGTAGTGAGTCTGATACTATAGCTCAAAGACATCTATATTGTCGAAGAACCAATTATAGTTGGTGCAAATGGTACAAACTAAATTAAGTGGAAAGGTTAAATTATGAACCTAAATTATCACTGCCTGCTGCTATTAGAGATATTTTAAAACCAATTTTTATGGAGCTAAGTGCTGATAGTTTATTGATAAAATGTTTGCATGGAATGAGCCAGAATGTCAATGAGTCACTTAATGCAATGATTTGGTCTCGATGCCCTAAAAGTCAATATTGCAGTCAAAAAATAATTAAAATTGGTGTTTGTTCAGCAATTATTCATTTTAATGATGGTTTCAATGGACTTCATAATGTATTTAAATTTTTAAACATTACTCCTGGAGCTTCATTTTGCATAAATGGTCCAAAACGAGATTTATGTAGAATAAAAAAAGCTAACAAGAAGTCAAGTAGTTTCTGTAAAAAACAAAGAAAAGTTTTAAGAGCTAAAAGAAAGGGTTTTATTGATGAACAGACAAACACAAATGACTGTGAGTCTTATATGACTGGAGCATATTGATTTTTTTATGTGTAATATCATTTTAATGCTTGTTATTTTCTATTGATTTTATTATTTTCGCTTTTTCTCAGTTTTTGATTTTAGCCTATTTTTCCTCACCGTTTCCAGAATAAAATTTTCTAGACTTTACATATTGATCTAAAAATTTCCCAAGTTATTCGTTTAGGTTTGATCTACAACCTGAACTAGAATGAAAGTTTTTTACTTTGTATTTTTTGAATTTTTGGTCTTAGAACTAACGTAACTATAGTAAATTTTTGATATAAATGATTTTTTATCTATAAAATTTAAACTACTCAATAAATTTTATTGATTTTAGTTCAAATTGTTCTTCATAGTAAAACAAAACTTTTTGTAAAATTTTATTCAATGAGTAAATATGGTTTAAAAGTTATTAAGGAAACAGTAATTGGGGTATTTCGGGTCCCAACATGGTTTATTAAGCCCGTAAATTTTTTTTTTTAATTTTTTTAGTTTTTTTTTCTTTTTTTATATCTGGGCATCCTATTAAATGCAGTAATAAGTGTTTTAAGGTCAAACGTTAGTGACACAAGTTTGATGGTATAGGACCACCTTAATATCATTTCGTTCTTCGTCAGTCCAAAAATTACTTTTTTTTGTTGATTTTTTCTGTCGTTTTGTATTTTATTAACAAATCTATTTCTTTACTCATTTAATTCAATGTAAACGATAATACATTTGTAACTTCTTCACAATGTTTTTCAATTAATATTTTTTTTAATGATTTATCTTGTACATATTTTTTTCGCATATCCATATTTTATGTTTTTAATCTAAAATAATAATTATTATATTAATATGTAAAATCATAAGGTTCTTCTTCGTTCTCATAATAATATCTAAAATTTATACATAGATCAATATACATTTGTATTTTTTCAATCCATTTTTTTTGTTGATTCACTCATATTTTCATAAAATTGATAAAACATGTTAAGATGTACATTTAAATAAACATTTCGTCTTATATATTGTAAAATCATCAACACAACAACACAATGATTGTTAATAAAGCTATTTGGTTCGTCAAAAATGTTTTCCATTTCAGAAACGTTTCCTAAAGTACAATCTGCGTTATATCTTATACAATTAAATTGTAATTCTGCCACTGTCCAATTTTCTTTTTCACAAATTTTTTTTAAAGATTCCATTACACAATTTAATATTATTTCTGTAAATTCCATCTAAAAAAATAATCTTTTATTAATAATAAAAAAGTTTGTTTACATAATCATACACTTTTAAATTTACTTAATCGATAATTAAATTCTTATTACAATTTTCAAAAAACAAATAAAACGTATAAAAAACTTTGTCTTTATAATCTGGAAAATTTGTCAACAATACTTCTAACAAAAATAAAGTTACATAATTATGAGGAAATTGATAATAAAAAAAAATATCCAATCCATTGGAACATTTAATTTAGAATCTTTTGGAATTGGAACATTAAGTTTTTCAAGTTGTTCATCATTTTTAATAATTTTACATTTTCCACAAATTTCTTTATATGCTAAAGCTTTTTCGTACAGATCTGATAAAGTAAATTTCATCATAGTAAGTAAATATGTATTACGAACTAAAAATTCAATCCAATTTCGTTCACTAAAAGTTTTCATAACGTCATTGAGTTTTAATTCAGTCAACTTTCGTTTATCATAATACCATTTCCTGCTATCTTCAATTTTTTCACTTAATTGACAAATAAATTTTTCTTTGTCATGATAATTTTTAAAAAAATCATAAAATTCAAAAAAATCATCAGTTGGAATTTCACCTTTTTTAAATTTAGATAAAGCTAAAATTAATTCAAAACTAGCTATTTCCATTGGTACTTGTCTTTTATTTGTTGATAATAATGAACCCCAATTATATTCGTCTTTAAATTCACAATCTATTTTTTTTATATATTTCATTTGTCAAGAAACTTATAGAAACAATTTCTCCGTGTGACATAATAGAAATGGCATCCATTTCTAACAATTCCAAAATATTATTTAGTTTAGCTTCTATTATCATCTAAAAAAAATTAACTTTATGTTATTTACAATACTGACATATTTTATTATATTCACAATAAGGACAACAAGTATACAAATTTAAACATTCTATCATATTAGTTTTTAATTCAATTTTAAATCTCAAAAATCTTTTATGACTCTCAGTACAATAATTATATTTTTTAATTATATCTTCTGATATTATTATTCCTTTATCACAAAGTTCAATCATAGTTTTTATCCAAATCAAATGAGTTTGTATTATTGTATTACGTTTCTCTCTAGATAAAGATTGAGCTGTCCAAAATACTTCCTTCAAACTAGTAACAAAATAATTAGCTATAGTTTGATATCGAAATTTTTCACGTGAATATTCGATTCCCACATCTTCTAAAAGAATTTCTTTCAAACTTTTGTATGCTTTTTTATGTTCTAAATTTATTACTGATTCGTCAACATAATCATCGGTATTTATTTGTATACCAGTATTTATTCGTATACACCTTCCAAATATTTGAAGATCTTTGTCATGGTAAGCTTTACTATTCATTATAACTGAAAAAATTA